GCAAGAAAGTGAAGAGTTGAAGGTATCACAATGTACACACTACTATCATGAATCATGCCATAAAGATACAAATATTATTCTTACCACAAATTCCTCTTTCGCGACCTCTTCATCTTGAAGTCTACTAACCTCATACTCAAGAGCAGTCAATTCAACAGGAGACAACTTAGGAATATCTAAAAATATTTTTAAAATCCTAAATTTTAGATATACATGTATAACTTAATTTCCAGTCTAGGTGCATCATGTACAAACAAGTGAAGAAAAAACATGTTACACTTCAAAGATTTACTCCACCCAAATTTCCTCTTTAAAAGTAAACTAACGCAATAAAGCATCAACCACTATAATAAACATAAACATTATTGTACATGTATACATTGATCTACTTGATACATATAGTTGTTTATATTTATCACTTTACATATTAAAATAAATAAAACAATAAAATGATATCACATTATATTATAATCACAAACTCACCTACACCCTCTGCTAATCCCACATGTACATGTACATATACATTAATACTACATGTACATGTACAACTACATGTACATGTACATGTATATCAGAGACCCAGTGGGCCCAGTGCTGCCCTCACTGAATGTACACTGTAATAACAGTCTCTGGAGTTTATGCCAACAAAAAGGCATTACTTGCAATAACATTGACAGATGACAAAAACAATGTCACTTTGTGTTACAATAACAAGAAACCACATTCTGTAATGAACCACAAACATCAATTACCCGACTACATGTACATGTACATGTACACGTACGCCCACAGATCCACTCAATCGGGATTACCCATTTACTTAAGCTAAATTACTCTTTTGTAATATTCACTTGTAAATGTACTCATATTTATAGCTTAATATTCAATCACATGTAAGCTGCTATTCCTAATGTACGTACAGCATGAATAGTCTTTTCCCCACTATAGACTATACATGTAGCTCATTCATCCATTGATTTATCAATACATACATGCATGATAGAATTACTATTATTTACTACTCCTATTTAAATGTATTATTTAAATAGTAAATAAGAGTAAATGTAAAATGTAGCTTGATTAGACAAATTAACTCACTGATTCTAGTATAAACATTGTACCATGCTTTCATACTTAGAATCATTTCAAAGCAAGAACACATTGTAGGCTTGAAATAAACCCAAACTTATTAATGTAAGGTCACAATGATTGTCTATAAGTACATGTATATGTATTGCTAATAGCTGTGAAGCTATACAACCAATAAAAGCTTATAAACATCTATTGTTGGTCTGTCTTTTTTCTTAATGGACAATTATGTCTCATTGCTGACTTGTGTGAGTCTAACTGTTTTCCAAACAATCTCTCTCTACCCTCTCCACTAACAAAAGCTCCAATGACTCTCTATATATTAACTAAAAGCAACCACCCACATGCTATACCGTATAGCGGGTTTGTTTCGTGAGGATAAACTTTCGTTTTCCATCCTCAAAATGACTTTTGTGAGGTTAAACATTCCTTCTGAAGACGTTAATAAGCTACCACGCCCATTAAAACTGGAATTTCGTTGGGTTAATTGTTCGTTCTCCCATCTTGAAGAACGAAAGTTTAGCCTCACAAAACAAACCCGCTATACGGTAGCCACTACTATACTCATCATTAGTGTATGTATATCGACGTACGGTTGAAGAGATCTCCTAGTTTCATTTCATCAGATGAAGTGACTGCAAGTAGTGCCACATTATCACTTGTTCCACCATCAAGCTCTAACTTCTGGAGCTCATAGTCCCTCGATCTCTTTGGCCTGAAAACAAATAAAATAAAATAATAATAAAACAACTAGTAAAGACACAGATACTTTTAAAGACACTTTTATAAGCTGATTCTATTACTGACACATATATAATGTTATAGAGTTGATGCACCACTTAAATATTTAAAAATTCAAAAGTATTATTATTGAAGAAACCTAGGGGCAGTGACATAATAGGTCATAATACCAGAACAAATTTAAATGAAATATTACTATTTCTATTCCTCCCATTTTTTCTTTA